CACACACACACACACACACACACACACACACACCAAACACACACACACCAAACACACACCACACACACACACACACACCAAACACACACACACACCAAACACACACACACACACCAACACACCAACACACACACACACACACACACACCACACACACACACACACACACACACACACACACACACCAAACACACACCAAACACACACACACACACACCAAACACACACACACACATACCAAACACACACACACATACACCCCCCTCCCTCCCCTCCCTCCACTCCCGAAACCTTTTTGTGTTTCTTAAATTGTAAATAAAAGGATGTTGTGAACCATTAAAAACCATGTAAAAAACACCTTGTCTTTGTCAAAAGGTTTTCAAAGAAGCATCTTTGTTTATGTCCCTTCTTTCTTGCATTCGTCGTTATCTCGATACACTTTATGAGTCACGGAAGACACCTTAGTTTTTGTCAGCAGACAATTTTGAAGTCATTAAATACAAATTGCCGTTGTCGTTGTCACTGACACTTAGTGAGTCACAGGACACACTTTGTCGTTGTCACTAGATACTTTGTGAATCACGCTTTACGCTTTGTCGTTGTCAAAATAAACTTTGTAAGTCACGGAATACACTTTGTCGTTTTCACTAGACACTTTGTCGTTGTCACTAGATGCTTTGTGAGTCACGGAATATAATTTGTCGTTGTCACTAGACACGTTTTGAGTCACGGGAAACGATTTGTCGTTGTCACTAGAAACTTTGTTTGTCACGAGAAACAATTTGTCTTTGTCACTAGATACTTTGTGAGTCACGGAATACACTTTGTCGTTGTCACTAGTCACGTTGTGGGTCAAGGGAAACAATTTGTCTTTGTCACTAGATACTTTGTGAGTCACGGAATGCACTTTGTCGTTGTCACTAGTCATATAGTGGGTAACGGGAAACAATGTGCTGTTTTCACTTGAACCTGTGTGAGGCACGGACCACGATTTGTCTTTGTCTCTAGACACGTTGTGAGGCACGGGAAACACTTTGTCGTTGTCACTAGTCATATAGTGGGAAACTGGAAACAATGTGTTGTTTTCACTTGAAACTGTGTGAGGCACGGAACACGATTTGTCTTTGTCACTAGAAACTTTGTGAGTCACGGAATACACTTTGTCGTTGTCACTAGTCATATAGTGGGTCACGGGAAACAATGTGTTGTTTTCACTTGAAACTGTGTGAGGCACGGAACACGATTTGTCTTTGTCACTAGACACGTTGTGAGTCACGGGAAACACTTTGCCGTTGTCACTAGATACTTTGTTAGTCACGGAAAATAAATTTTCGTTGTCACTAGGGACGTTGTGAGTCACGGGAAACAATGTGTTGTTGTCACTTGAAACTTTGTGAGTCACGGGGAAAACTTTCACGTTGTCACTAGACTATTTGTGAGTTACGGGAAACAATTTGTCGTTGTCACTGACACTTTGTGAGGCACGGGAAACACTTTGTGGTAGCCACTAGACACGTTGTGAGTCACGGAAAACACTTGTTCGTTGCCACCGACACTTAGTGAGTCACAGGAAACAATTTGTCGTTGTCACTGACAATTTGTGAGTCAAGGGAAACACTTTGTCGTTGTCAGCGACACTTAGTGAGTCACTGGAGATACTTTGTCTTTGTCACTAGACAGTTTGTGAATCACGCTTTACGCTTTGTCGTTGTCAAAATATAATTTGTAAGTCACGGAATAGTTAACATAGTTTTTGCACAATGTTATTTTTGTTTGTGACGCCATTGACCGTTTCGAAGTCATTCGAACTATTTTGTAGAATGTTGTTGTGTCCTTGAAGTTGAAGATGTCAAAAAGGGACCTCTTTCCGTCTCCTTCTTGGATTTCTACACTGGTTGAGAAGAAATTGTGAAATATTTTGTCGTTGTTCTACGTCCGCCAGGCTTCATAATGCATAACAAGCGGGATAACTCCCATAGATTCGGGCCTATACCGAACAAACAACAATCGTATGTATCCGTTTCCAAATTCCCATTCGGGTGGGTTTTTTGCTACCTAAGGGTACGTGTATTCGTTGAAGTGTTTTTGATCCACCGGGTTGTCAGCCATCATCCTCCATTTTCGAGTATCTTAAATCACAGGGGCACAGCACAGGCTAACCCCTCCCCCTATTTGTACGAGGTGGGGGGTAATCCTGTGCCTATCAGATGTGTCTTAAAAATAAACATCCGCAACCGTATATTTACCTATTTAGCATGGCACGTGAAATTCATGTGGCTTAATACATCTATATTATACATGGTGGGTCAGAACTAAAAAAGAATTGTTTTAAACTGGTTATATTTTTTGGAAAATTTCAGAAACTTCATAAATAAAATAAAAAACCAAATGGCATTGTATACGTTTCAAACATTGTATAGCGAGACATGCTCGTCGTAAGTTAACTATCGTCCTTTTAGCCCTCATGAGTGAGGACAAATATACCAGAACAGGAAATTTGAACGGGGTGTCCTCAGTTCCCCCCACAATTTAGAGAACAAAAGTGGGGGAACTGAGAACAAGGCATGTGAACACACAAAGTACAAATACATAGTATATATATGTAATAGCAAAAACATGTTAGAGGGAGAAATTAACACTGCGTTAAAACGGATTTTTATCGGTGAAGGGCGAATACTTGACTGGAAACAGAAAGTCACAAACACAATATTGACAAGATATTTAATGTCTATCAAAATAAATTCATTCAACTATAACAAAATGATTTAAACTTGTTTTCATTAAATTAAAGACGTGAATTGCATAGTACAGCAACATTAACATAACTAAATATAAAATAATTTGAAAATTCCATAAAAATATTCGCACATGAAACAACACAAAGCTTGACAAGGACGGTAAATCTATTTTTGACAAAAACTGCAATAATATGTATTTTTAAAATCTAAGATATTTACACCATTAAAGTTCTATAAAATTCTATAATTAAAAACATTTACAATAGTTTTAATAGAAATGTAGTAATGTATATCATGATCGACCATTTACATGCATGGAACCCGCTTAAGTCGAAGTTAAACGGACAAGGAAAAAGTTCGAGTTATTCAGGTATAAAGGTCAGTTATATAAAGCTCGAGCTATCCTGGTGTCTGTGTTCTGAAAACTCAATCATTCAGTTGTTAGAGTTTTAAAGAGTTCGAGTCCATCAGGTGTGCAAATTATAAAGTTCGAATTATCCAGGTGTACGAGTATTATAAGTTCGAGTTATCCATGCGTGGAATAATTTTAACTTACGAACTGAAAGTAAAAAAGTAATATAAAAATGAAACCAAATTATGTGTTCGTGTTGTAACATACATTCGACTTAACCGGGTTCTACATTGAGTAATAATAAAGGTCATTTACTTAATACTTTCTGCTCTAATAGCACACATTAACACTATAAATATCACTTTGGGAATATCATCTCTGCCCTGCAGACACGAAGCCTGTTTATAATATCACATTGGGAAATATTTGTGTATCAGTTACTGAGTATATCTGTATGGTAGTTCACACTTTCGTAGTATCAACTTTCATCTACTGTCGTTTCCTCTTCGTCTGATCTCGTATCGGTCTCTCTATTCTCTGATGTCTCATCTTCCTCCTTTTCAACTTCTTCCTTCTTTTCTTCCTCTTTCCTCTTCCTCTCCTCCTCTGTACATTGCGCCAAGACTTGCGCCCAGTCTTCTCTGCTCTTGGAGCATCCGTCCAGGAGTGGTTTGGCGCCGGGAAGAATCCTATGAAGCGTCTTATAAAGAGGATGACATATGAAATCTATAAACCCGACCTGTTGTTGTGGGCGCTCCGTGATGCGTTCCCGATCCATCATGGGCAGAGGTTCGATTCCATGACTCTTCTCTAGATCACCCTGGTCGTAAAACTCCTCATACAGAAAGTCGACAGTTACTCCTTGTGTTTCCCACGGCTTAGAGATGGCACACAAATCGGCACCCGTCATCATCAAGGCGATGGCTTGCTTTTTGGCGGCAGTTTCTTGCAGATCGAACGTGCTTTCGTCCAGTTGTTTGGTTATCGCCTTCTGGTTGGGAAAGTAGAGTGCTAGATCGGTCGCAAGAATGCAGTGCTGTACCATACCGAGCATCTCTTTGTACTCTGTAGCCGTGAGGAAAGAAAAGATGCCCTGCCCATCCATCTGAAGAATGGTCACAGTGTGTTTGTAATGGTGCTGTTCCATGACGGAAGTCGAGTAGAGGGAGGCCAGAGGAAGGTCCATTTTGGAGAAAAATGCGTTATTGTAGCCTCGGTGGTCTACGTCATGACATATTCCACTAATCAGGATCGCCATCTGTTCGAACTTGGTGAAGACATTTGGACTTTCGCGCATCATGCACCAGAGCGAATGCGCCACGTGGAAGCCGTGGTCCCAGTTATGGTAAGCAATGTCGCGATAATTCTTTCGCACTGTGATCGTGAACCGACATAGTTGTTCCATCTCAAACGTATCTTCTCCAAACATGTCAATCACCATATGAATGAACAACTGGGGCAAGAGAGGGGCAAAGTCGTACGCGCAGAAATCGAACGAGAAGAAATCGTAGGGGATGCTCTCTTCCTGAATAAAGGGGTCTGATACCAGCTCTTTCATCTCCTCCTCTTTGCATACGATGTGATACTGGATGACCTCGAGAGCTACCTTGTACTGATTCTGTTGGCGCACAAGCAGGTTGTACAAACGGCTATAATGAAGCGCCATGGCGCAGTATACCGAGAACATCTTAAAGGCGCTTTCGTCCGCGTTTGTGAAATGTTCGCCCCGCAAGCTGTTGATCAGCTGGACCACGCCCACTACCTGGTCTTTACTCACAATGGGCATGCACAGGATGTTCCTCGTTCTATATCCGGTCAGTTTATCTACTTCCCGGTTAAAACGGGAATCCATGTAGGCATCAAGTATGTTCAAAACCTGAAAATATACAGGAGAATGGCGTTACAAAGAATGGAGAGTTAGGGAGACAGGTGTCGATGGATTATAGTAGCCTACACTTATATAAAAACGTTGCTGACATCTTTTCTGTTTTCAAGGGAATGTCGAAGAGAAGGTTTCGTTTCAGAATACAATTTGCAAATGTTTCTTTACATAAGGCGTCGACTTTCTAATCACATATATGCGAGGGTTCGAAAGATAAGTCATTTGACGGATTTCGAATAAATCAAACATGAAAATTAACCCACGATAATGAGTATTCATACGTCACAAGATATGTCGATATATATATAAACTTTATTTATGTCACAACAATTAAGAAACAAGGTATTTCAACTTATATTTATCAATCTTGTTGGCCCAGATGTTAGCGCGCGAGGGGTCTTAGTGTGGGGGAAAAGCGGAGTTCCCGGAGAAAACTCATATGGTCGGGAGTCGACCCCAAACCTTTTCACGCCCGATCGGGGAATCGAACCCGGTCGCCTTGGTGAAAGGCAAGTCAGTGCGCTATCCACTGCGCCACCCGACCACCCAAAACGAAGATGTAAACAAAATGGTGTGACGTCACGTCGCATAATTCTGTGTCATGTAATCTAAACAAATAAGCCATGAACTGTGTATATAATGAAAGCAATTGCACTCATTGATGGGTTATAGCTATCATCATCCATGCATAAAAAACACACATTAAAACCTCGATATACTGCCCATCATTTCATGTCATGCCACTTCTCTTACTGCCAACACAATCCACTCTTTTTCAAAGCGGTACTTTTGTACTACTACCACCTTATAAATCCTCCTCGAGTGATCATTAGACACTTTTATAACGCCAAAAATATGTTCGACAAAATAAAATATGGCAGTATAACAAGGGGTTTACTATAGAAGTAATATTAGCGATACATTTAAATTCATGACAAATTCTCTTCACAAATACACTTGAAAATACAACTCTTGTAATACCAATTAGATATTTCTGTCTCGTGAAAAATATATTGACAGAATATTCGCTTAATTACCTCTCCGCTTCTCGCTACATAACCAGCTATCCCCTTATCTCTACTGAAACGGATTTGAGACTTCTTTGATATAATGGACTGGCCATCTGTCGTCTTTTTTCCTTCATCGAAATAATCGGCGTAAAGTTCGTTGGTTTCCTCATCTACTAGAAACAAGGAACAGCGGTCAGCATTCACCAAATTCTTAGTGAACATCATGATTTTCTGGACCAGGAGGTCAGTACTGGTCATTTCGTCGAAGATGATGCGCGTGGTGTCCAACAGGAAGTCGTTTAGATGCCGCTGGGAGTCTAAAACTCGCTTTACATTGTTCTCGCTGATGCAGGCAACCATCCAACTCAAGAGCGCATGTGCCATTTGAATATCCGTTCTAGAAAACGGATATTTCTTGCTGTTGCGCACGACTTCTATCACACCAATGATGTCATCAGATGGAAGAATCAGAGGTACACACAAAACGCTGACGTCAATGGCTTCGCCAGGACCCGTACCCTTTGGAAACCTGCAAGCAAAGTTTTTCAGAATATAGGAATCAGACAAAACGGTGTCTAGTAATCCGCTTATAGTTACTCTTTATCTTTAAATATGTGCTAAATGTTCGACCTTCTCTAAAACTGATGTTCTTTGACGTTTTACTCACAGGGACCTGAAAATTGGTTACAGGTATGTGTGGACCTAAACTAAGATGTTTAGAGTGATTTAACATGTTTTATGGGTTTAGATCGATTTTCGGTATATGAGATCATGGGGGGGGGGGGGGGGGGGGGGGGGNTGCAAATTCTCAGGTCCCTGTGGTTTTACCTTGCTCGATAAAAGAACAACTTCAAATATCAACGTTTCCATTGCACAGCCTGAAAATGTGTCCGTTAAGTCAAAATGTTCGTATTTTTTTTCCAATCTGAAACTCTTATATATAGAAGATGAAGCAATAAAAATGGATTTTTTTCTGACTAAGAGTGACTTTAATTGGCAAGGTATGTATCTCTCATTTTGATTGTAAGGAGTAGCAGATTTTGAACTTTTATAATTCTGTAAAGTGTCAAATGTATCGCAAGATGCTATTTGCATGGAACACTTTTGTAGAAAAAAAACGAACAGATGTTTCATGATAGCGGCAACGGTAATAACATCATCATTTCACTCGATGGTGTGCTTTATACTTAAATACGACTCGTGGGTTATATTAATACTTTTTCAGTTGCATACCCACTGAATATCTTGGAAGCACAGGGGCAAGGCGCAGACTTACTCCCACTATACCTATTTGCTTGTATAGGGGGTGGGGGCTAGTGTGTGCCTTGCCCCTGTGCTCGGCAGAATACATATTTTTCAAAATAAGATTACATGGATAAATAGTTGATAAAAACAGATAGAGGATAACTCAAATAATCTAATATGTCACGTGGTCATACCTCACTAGAAACGCTAAGAAATATACACGAATACGGGTAAATGGTATCTAAAAGTCACCCCATACTGAACTCAATACCATGTCTTGGATCAAAATCCCAATATCATCTAAACACTTCGAAACCACTTTGTTTATTAATGTAGCCATTTAAACCATTGCTTGCTGTGAACGATTTGGTTAAACTTAGATAAACAGATGTAAAGTGATTTTCTTGATAGCGAAAAACTACAGGGGAGTTTGGAACAAAACGCATATAAGTTTATATGATATCATAAATGTATGCATGTTCTCTGTATACCCAAACTATCGTTTATTCCGTTTCAAGAAACAAATTCATGTCATTTATGGCTCGCACCATGCAGCAAAATATTTCAAAAACGGAGTAACAAAAACACCCCTGGTAACACGACAAACGGACATGTTTACCGCTAGTCACAGTTAGTGTCGCCGGCGCCAATCTACCGTCAAAATAAAATGTGCGATTTTAGTTTTAACTTTATTTAATATCGGTATAATATTTCAGTAATACAAACATTATATATATATATATATATAGGATTCGAAAACAAGTACAAAGTACTTATGTTAATCCGTCTCCTTTTTTGTGAAACGGCAATTGGAGGGCACTGACTAATAGTATACATATAGATATAAGTATATTGAAGAGAAGAGGATGGGGGAGGAAGGCGGGAAAGAGGTGCAAATGGGTTATAAAAAAAATGTTGTTAGGGGTTAAATATATAGCGAGTAAACTTACAGCATTATGGGAGGGAAACCTGGTTGGAGTGTATTTTGTATATACACATGTCGAGAACTGTACATGTCAATGAGGTTTTCAACACATAATAAATTGATTGCATATAATGAAACCTTTCCATTCCGACCCCTGAGTACTCCAACATCTTGTGGTGTACAACAATCTGCTGTAATTTTAAGTATTAAGAGTATTATCAAACAAACTGTGCGATTTTCCCCGTGACTCGAGTAAATTCCTAAATATAACTTAACTTATTATATAAATGTTTTAAAAGGACGCACTACAGTCCTTTTATTTCCTTCAAAATAGCAAAGAAAATTCTATTTCAACTTTTTGTGTGGTTTCTATTGGCTAATGATGATATTTTTATAAACAGTTTTACAAAATGGCGGAACAGCAATTTTTCATATAGTTACAAAATTCCGTCAGGCGACAGACACTAATCATAACCCGTTCGGGAATTTCCATCATAATTCGAATTTAACGCCACACCAAGATTGGCCTCCAATGACTAAAACAGTATAAAAAAAAAAAAAAAAAAAAAAAAAAAATAAAAAAGATATTAATAAATCAATACATGTAATATCAATCATTCAATCAATCAAATAAAAAGGTGGAAATACAGTTTCCGACTCAAAATACATTCAAGTGTTCATGCTGCCATTACATTATACAGACATGTTCGGTTGGTAGGTTATACAACGGAAATGTAAAATTATGCCACTGTCTGCCGTGATCAAAGACCTCTATACATCGTGTCTTCTTCGGAATCTGTTCCTGGATTTGACCGAGAAAACATTATGACGAGTGTCTTATGAGGTGATGGAAGCGCATAACTTTCGTCTCTCTTTTATATTGTGTTGCTTTTTGTTGTTGTTTACTTGTTTTGTCACTTTTGAATTCCAATTTAGTACCTGCATGGCGACACTCTGGTTCTTTTTAGTGCTTTTACCTCAAAAGCTTCGTTACGAGAAAAAGAAATGAACGTTTCATTTAAATTTAAACTCTATTTTACTCAAACTTCACATTTCGTTCCTGTTCAATAGTTTTACGTTATTGTTTGATCATTTATCGTTTTATCTAATAAACTCTATCGTTTTATCTAATAAACTCTATCGTTTTATCTAATAAACTCTATCATTTTATCTAATAAACTATATTATTTTATCTAATAAACTATATCGTTTTATCTAATAAACTCTATCGTTTTATCTAATAAACTATATCATTTTATCTAATAAACTATATCGTTTTATCTAATAAACTCTATCGTTTTTTCAGAATTTGACATTCTTATTCAATAATAAGGTGTTACTTTTTCATAATTTTACATCACTTTTTTTAAATTATATATTCATATTTAATAATATTTAAGTACCTTTCTTAATTTGATAATTTCACATTCATACTTCATATCTTTACATTTTTCAGAAATATACATCATTCCTATTTCATAATTTAAAAAATGAATTCATATTTTTTTCATTGTAAGTTTTTGATTTATAATTATATATCACCATTCCATTCAATAATTTTATATTGTCATTCAATAACTTCATATTAAAATATCATAACTTTATATTCTATTTCATAATTTGGCATTCTTATTCAATAAAGTTTACATCCAGATTTCAAAATCCGGACAAGATCTATTGCATGGCTACTTATAATGGTTTAGCTTGTTAATTTAATATCTTATTTCTTTTACATGACGTCATACAATTTCAGTGTTGGGAAACAAATACTGCATAACGCTTATAATTCGGAACTACTTTTCTGCTGTATTCGCATTCTAAAAAAAAACGCGTAATAAATTGCGTAAAATGTTGTAAGTTACGCCCATTCGGCAAACCTCGGCTGATTCCGGTACCCTTCATCAATAATGATGTAGGTACGGAATTCGCCTTGATAAAAAAAAACAATTTATAAATATTGACTCTTATCGGTGTTGCACGAAGTCAAATCACCGCGAATTTGTTCCGAGAAAAAAACACCGCTAAAATGAATGGGCTCTACGGTATGTTGACCAGTCCCCCGAATAACATTTTGATAAAATCAAACCGAAAATAATGATACATATAGGAGATGAATATTAAATATTCTTAGTGACGTCAACACAGACGACAACACATTGAATGCTTAACCGTTAGTCCCTGCAGGGAGTGTAAGTCCGTGTTGTATAGAACACGCTGGGTATGTTACGGGTGGTGAATAACGTAAAGGGGTAGGAACAGTGGGCCAATAAAACTGTAAACGCTTGTACTTTAATTCAGGGTTAATGACCCACGTATTACGCGCCGTGACGACCTTGTCAGATCCGTGACGATCACTGGGCACGTGACATATACAAAATGGTAAGGTTATCATAACGGTAGTAGTATTAAATAGAAAATAAAAATATGGTCCAAAGCCTCAATACAAGGACGAAACTTAGAATTCAGTCGAAATTTGAACTCTTAAGGTGAAACAAAAAACAACAACAGGAAACGAGGACACACCAAAACAAAGGGAAAGACAACTTGTACTCTGTTTAGCAATATAAGACCAAAAGTTTAGAAATGCCATACCAAAAGTTCACTAATGCCATACCAAAAGTTCACTTATGTCATATTAAAAGTTCACTAATGCCATATTAAAAGTTCTCCAATGCCTTTTTCGAAAGTACGTTTTCCTTCGAACTGGAAAAGTTTCGAACTCTCTTCAAGAATCTTAAGCTCATTTCACATTTAGCCCATCCTCTTTCCCTTTATTGTGACACTCGTTTAGACATTACAGATACTCTCTCCTACATTAAAATTACATTGCTAAGTCTGAAGGCGTTGTTTTAGAAAACTCGATGTGTTGTTTTCATATGAGATGATATTCTCCCATAAGAATATCAAAGTCTCATTTTCCGTCTGTCTTTGAAAATCGACCAAACAATACCTTAGGCATATTGGTGGTAGTCTGTTCAACATTTAAAGAATATTAATTTGAAATTTATCATTGAATCAGAAATATCTTTGAGTTTTTACTCATCTCAATATCTTCATCATGAACCACAACAAGTTTCTTGTGAATCTTTAAGTTGACTAAAAAAGGCCTAGATAGCATGATGTCAATTACAACCGACATATACAATGTCAATAAAATCTGTTGAAATTGAATGATCTTACATGTTCCATGTTTGTGAAACATTTCACATCATTACATCATGTTTTGTAACTAGAATAGGTTTGTTTAGTTTATGTCAGATCAGTTACCTTTTGCTAGTCCTAAAAACAATGATTTTGCCAAATATTGGACTTCGCGATATTCCATTTCTGCTCTAGTTCTTTAAGAAAAAATGTGTGCATTTAAATACGACCTTGTTAGTTTTGACATTAATATCTATGAGGCTAAATCAAGGATTTTTTTAAATAAGAAACTGATTTTATTTAACAGAACGGTGCACAGGCGCATGCAAATCAAACAACATCTGTTTTATAGTCTACATCATCCTGACGTTTGGTTTACATGAACATGTGCACAGGAAACCCTGTCCAGGCATTTCTTTTGACTTTGATGATGAACATACCTTGCTAATTCTAATGACATATCGGAAACAGTTAATGAGGCCCTCGTGTTGAACGCATGCGCAGCAACTGTACTTCCTTTGCCTGTGGGTCCGTAAGGTATTGTTACGCCCCCTCGAAATATGTGTAGTTCAGTGTCGTTGTTTTTTGGTACATAAAGTGAATGCGAGTCTCCATTTACGGCCTGAGCAAGAATTTTACTTAACTCTTCCATACGACTCAGCAGATTGTTGGCGTTAACGCTCTCCAGGAGCTTCGACGCCACATCCTTCGTTGACAATAAGTCGTAGTCCCCTAGAAGTGCCTTGTGTCGTTTTGTCACCCGACACGATGTTGCTCTCCGTTTTCGTTTGATCAACTCCTCCAAAGTGTCCACATTAATGGAGTCCATGACGTAACGCCGGAACACACTGGGATTATTTTCCAGGAATATTTTCACGTCTAGCTCCGTTATCCTTGGAGAACACAGGTCACTCCATCTGTTAGTGGACATGTTTCCCGGAAACGGACTCTTTTTTGTAAGTGATAACATAAATGAATTTCGTGACATTTTTTTAGTCGAAACCGTAGAACGATTGCTATCACATCATGTACACAGCATAAACAACATGTCTGTTGCTTTTCTTTCATCCATGTGTTGCTAGCCTGATATTATGACGTAATCACTTTTGTGTATTGTCTCATTGTTTGTTGACGTCACCAAAATAATCGGCACAACTTATTTCTTGTCCTTCAGTTTCGACTGACCACCTTCCTTTTAGCGGTATATGTCCGTCTTTTCCTACTCCTGTATTGAATTGACATCAGAATGATACAATTTAAATTCCCGGTGACAAAATAAAGTAAATGTATATATTGCTTGAGTTATACGTATTCCCTGTTTGTAACACATCGTATTAAAGGCCACATTTGAATAACTTTACGACTGTGCCCTCTGGTTCACTTCCGTTCTAATTGATCAATACCCACCCGTATTTATATAAGGATCGTGCCGTTCTATCGCGCTGTCCATCGATGTATTGCCCAAACCTCGATCGCCTTTACATGTTTTTGTTGTTGTTGGTATTTGATGATGGGCGTAACAATGTAAAATCGCTGTCAATATCAAAATTGACTATTATCCAGTCTTTTTTCTTTGAAGTGAAAATTAGAAATGCAAATACGATCGGACGTGGTAAATCTACCACGCAACACATATGTATACGCGACAGCTCAAATCTTTTAAACATCGATGGAACGAATGATATGATATATTTCCGAAGGATAAGTACACTCCAATAAATGATTAAAATAAACCAAAATTTCACAAACACAAAGTCCACAGGAAAAAAATCCGAAACTAAAGATTAAGTGAATCGTTGACACGCCATAGCGCACCAATGCAACTCCTATGTCCGGACTGGTGATACGTTAAATCTTTCAAATATGCTTGTAAAATAAAATAATAAAAAAAAAAAACGTCGGTGCCGTCCCGGTTAAACAACGTTTTATGCAATACACATACTCGTAAGTGTTCTCCATATATCAACGACCAACGAGCACCCGATCGGGACTGTGTGAATTTTAACCATCTATAGAGGAGATCGGGCTTGTAAGGGGATTAGGGCAATATGAATGAGCATCATGGATCGGGCGGTTTTCTATGTATTTTTTTTCAGAAGATTACATACTAGAATGGAAGTGTATAGAATGGACGCGCGATTTCAGTGTATTACTGAATATTGAATTTTAAATAAATTCAATTGAGATCAATAGCAACACCGCGGAAGAAAAGAGATATAGAGAGATCGATGTTTATGTCAAAGAGGATTTCTTTCGTTTTATCGCGACAGTTTAATTGAAAGCCAGAGAAATGAGAAAAAATATCGGTGCTTTAGGTTTGAGGATATATATATATTTGACGTATCCAATCCTTTCATCGTTACAATGAAGCGACAAAACTTACTTCAATATACTAGTAGCTAAATCGATAAAATATATAATGAACATGTCGGTTTTTATATTTATACAATAAATTTCACGTTCTCCTCCTCAACGTTTGGTTTAGTTGGACAGAAACGTTGTTATAAACACTATCTGTAATTTAAGGTGACACATACCGCAACAACCTATTATATAGTTTGTGCTTGCTACGACTAGGAATGTATGAAATTCAGATGATAATATGAGCGCATGTAAACATCATGGGTTTCACTCTCGATTCGGGATATATCTATACCGATATACCGATATACCGCGATACGGAATAGTGAACTTTATTCATTTTACAACAATTATGAAACAAGTTTTTACAACTTATATTAATCACTCTTGTTTGCCCGGATGTTAGCGCGCGCGGGATCTAACTGTGGGAGGAAACCGGAGTACCCGGAGAAAACCCATGCGGTCGGGGGCAGGTGACCCCATACTTTTTCACGTCCGAACAGGGAATCGAACCCCGGCCGCCTTGGTGAAAGGCAAGTGCGCTATCCAATGCGCCACCCGACTCCCCATTGGTATTATATCGATGCATGGTGTTCCGGTACGATATATACGTATCGGCACAAGCATTTTTTTTTTTATAAAATCTAAAGTCATAGTGACTAAAACATTTGTATTTAATGAGCAAGTCATACAAATCAAGCTTTCAAAGACACAGATCAGTTTGGTTGGTACTTAACTTCAATATTCCTACTTGACAATTTTTTTCGTTAATTGAAACACCAACTTTAGCTATAGTCGTTCCTTATTGTTTGGTCTTGGGTAGGTATACCAATTACATATCGATACGTATTGCAATACGCGTTGTGTGTATCGCAATATATTTGTACTATGGATTTAAGTACCAATACTTATCACTAAGATTCGGTCTTGTGTTCGAATCCTATACTAACACGTACACTTTTGTTGTGTGCACCCATTTTTTCTTTCTCTTTTTTTTTTTTAAAGATTCCCGCACCTAAAGAACTACGCATCGGAAACAGACCCCACCCCCACCCGAAAAACATACCTGGTGTCGGAACGCTTATGAAAAGTTAATAAAGATGAAATAACAAAATGTTATCAACAACAGTGTTCCGAGTGTAAAAAATATCGGATTGGCTACGCCGGATTCGAATCATGGACATCAAATTGCTACCAGGGTCGTTTTCGTTTATCGCTATCCAAACGGTTGAACCGGTTGGACCAGAGTTGTTCATTTATGAAATAAGACTGGACCTAGTAATCTGATGCTGTAGACGAGCCTTGACCTTTGCAGGTCCGCCAGGATTTATACCAGAAAATGTTACATTTAAAAACGGACGAACCGGTTGTTGCGCATAAACGTACAAGCGCCTGGTCAACGGAACCGTCATGACACAAAAGCGCTACGGTTTTATCCAAACGAAACTAAGGGGTGATTACTGTATATACAAAAAACACACAGTGGAGTTCTGTAGTGTTCTGTCTGCAGTGGGACAGGCATCCTTAAGCAGCAAAGTTAAAATATTAGCATGCAGGATGTGACGTTTCTTGCATCCCTTAATGTGAAAAAATGCGTTAAGGGGTGCGCGTAGCTCCTTAATGTACCAGTAGATTTCTTTCCGAGAGCTTGCATCAGCACAAGATGGCTAAACAAAGGCAAGGTCGTGGCTGAGGTCGAGGTCCAAGAAAAAGACGAAGACGAGGTCAAAGCACGGAAGTTGAAGGACGTGCTCATGAGGCTACATTAATTCAATTGTAGTCTTTGTAAAAGGGCGATGAATGTCGGAATTTCTTTTTTTGATTAATTCTTTATTTATTTTGCAACAGCGTTGAAACAAATTTTTAAAACTTATATCAATCACTCTTGTTTGCCCGGATGTTAGCGCGCGCGGGTCTTAATGTTGGAGAAAACCGGAGTACCCGGAGAAAAACCACGTGGTCTGGCAGGGGACCCCATACCTTTTCATGCCCGATCGAGGAATCGAACCCCGGCGCTTCCACTGCGCCACCCGACCACCCCATTCTTAGAGGCATTAAGAAGTACTTCTGTTAATGCGTTAATTCCCTGCGAAATTAGTTCAAGATTATGTCTATTGTTCTGAAGTTTAAAGAAAACATTGGTTGAAACGAATTCTTTTCTTTCTTGAGAGTTTTTTTGCCATTTGCCATTTTTTTTTAAATTAAAGTTATGTTTATGTACTTTATCACAGCTTAACATGTTTTGATTTTATTCTTCAAATTTGCCGTGATATATAGAAATACAAAAAGCACTGTCTTTGTATAAACTAGAATCAAAAAGACGTTATACAGGTTTCAGGGAGGAGACATTACGCAATATTACTTATTTGGGTTTCGTAATTCCGGATCTTCCATCGATCTGCTCGGGAAATATGAAAATTTCCTGTATAACCCAATAATATAGACGAAAATGAAATTTGGTTTGTTTGTGATTTACGTCCTATTAACAGCTAATATGGTCATTTAAGGACGTGCCAGGTTTTGGTGGTGGAGGAAAGCCGGAGTTCTCGGAGAAAACCCACCGACCTACGGGAAGTAACTGGCGACTGTCCCACGCAAGTTTCGTACCCGCGACCCAGTGATGGAGGGCTAGTGGTAGCAGAATGTCAGACGCCTTAACCACTTTGCCACCGCGGCCCCTAGAAAATGAAAGTAAATAACAGAGAAGCAACACCTTGTTTTTGCTGGATGCCGACAGACTTGTTACACTTTGATTCTAGGAGATCTTACTTCTATTTTTGAATAATTGATATATTAACAGGGTCGTAATTAAGCTCCTGGATTTAAGGTATTTAAACGCATATATTACGGCTTGTTTTGAATAGGATTGCACCATTTTGGCAATTCAATATATTCATGTTATATTCAATCAGTGAATTGAAATTCCCTAGAGTATGCATAGTTTAAATTGACACACACCCGCGAAAATTAAGATATTAACAGTATAAAAACGAAGTTCTTCGTTGTAAAGTTTACTGCAGACATCGTACGGACCACATCTCTTTAAAACCATCACAGAAACCTGAATAATTCATGTTACTTTTGTTGTATTTGAACGAGGATGGTAATTTATGTACATCTGTACGCCTGCCACAGGGTTTCCGTCATAGCATTCATCGATTCAGCAACCCCATTCAATCCGACCGGCCGAGTAAACCCCGGATTGATACAATTCCGAAAGGATTAAATCTGCATGGCTGATTCAGAAATCAAATCTAGAGCAAGGTGAACATTGCCAACAAGTTATATAGATATTCATCAACTCCTATTTGACATCTGAGAAAATAGTCTATATTGAAATGAGGCGCTAAAGGGTTTATCTCGCATGCGTCATAGAAACGCCTGGTGACAAGTACACCTGTAAATATTGCCATTCCAATTTATCAACGCTCGTGTCAGGATCACAAAAGCGTAACATGATAAAAATATTTTTGGTAAAATCATGGTAGTGTAACGGGTAAGGTATATGTGCTCCAGCAATGTTGAGTCTCAACTGTTCTTGAAGACTGGAACAATTATATTACACTCCCAATAACAGGAATAAAGAATAGAAACTCTTCAGGGAACAAAATTCTCACATGATCCCGAAAGCAGCGTAAAGAAGAAACAGAACAAAAATGGCCATCTTGATTTTCACATCAGTCTCAAAATTCGATATGCGAAACTAGGGACAACGGGTAATCATCATTTGAAATTCGAGAACGATCCCTCCAGTTCTTTCTGATAATTTTTTTCTCTCTAAAAATCAAGATGGCTGCCTGTTGGCCATCGTGGTTGTCCTACGGACTTAGATAGCAACATCAAAGTAAACCAGATTAATGCCGAAAAGGCAGTTGCGTTTTCCTCTGATCTAATTTCGTGGTTGTCCGATCTGTTCCAACATTGTATATGTGTAACAAAGGTTCACGGGGAACCTTCATATAAAATATGAGAAAGATTCCTGCAAGATTTCTGATAAATATCGCTAAAAAAAACTCCCAAGGTAGCCACCAGTCAGCATTCTCGGTTTTATGAAATTAATGAATGATATTTTCCGTGCTTACTCAAAAATAGTACTAACAAATATAAATATCAAAATTCAAGTTGGCTACCTTACCAAAATAATAAGTCATTTAAAGATTTTAAAACTTTGGCCTTTGCAAACTTGAATGAGGGCCATAATCATATGTATAACAGTATATGATTGTCATATTGGAGTATTGATAAAGTGTAAGATTTGTGTTAATCTAAACAAAATACTACAGAAGCATATATATATCAAATGAAAGAAAGTCTAATATGACCTTTTCCTATTGTCAACTTAAATGTATGTCTCTTCATGGTTAGTTTCTTGTGATAATTTACACAATGACACTAGACAATAGGTTTATTCTAGGATTGTTTCCTACACCAAGTCATTAGAAAAGTTTCTTCACTTTAGTATGGAAATT